TCGGCCACTTGAAAAACGGTTGTCAGGCGCTGTGGCCTAGGTTTCTCACTACGCGGGAATTCAAATCCTCGTCCCTCCTAGCAACTTTTTTTTTGAAAATTTTTCGCTTTTAACGGCATTTTTCGGGGATTTCGGATTTTTTTCGAATTTTTTCGCTATAATATTAGGAAAATAGACAATTGTTCAAACATTTTAATGCAATAAAAATTTTTGGTCGGAGTCCCCCTTTAAATTTAATGATACACGCAAGCTCCATTCAGCTGCAGATAATATCCGTATGAACCGTCTGGGATATAAGCACCAACGCCTCTGATGCTATCAAATGAAACAACTTCTCGTTCGCCGCTAGGCTTTCCGTGAACGATCCCTCTGTATCTCTTGAACTGGTTCAGTAGTGTTTCTCCAAAGGTGTTGAATGGTCTTGGCAAGTTATCAACAACTTGCTTCAACAGCTTGAACTGCTCTACTCCACATATTGAGCGAATCTTTTCAGCATAAATGTAGACATCAACCCCATGTACAGCAACATATATGAATTTGTAGCAACAATGGACTCCATCATTATTCACAGCAAAAAAAATTTGGTTCGAAACCGATCCTTCCCGGTATACAGATTCCAGTCGCCCGAGAGTTTCAGTGATGGGGTGAAACGCAAAAATTCATTGGTAGAGGAAGATGGCGAGTTTGTAGCTCGTTGTTGAATTTCTCGACTAATACCAGAATGAAGTAGCAGCCTGAAATAAGCAGTGGACTCTATATATTCTCATTGTTGACTTGCCTGGATATAGCCGATTCTGTGAATCCCTTGGTTTTCTGAGGGCTAAACCCTTTCAGTGCAAATTTATAAAAGTGCTCATAACAGAAAGTAGAGAGACAAGCAATATTCCCGAATTTGTCAACTACTTCAGGAAGGTGTGAAAGGAGTTCCTAAAGGCAAGTCAATTTGATGTATTTCTAGGAGTAGCACATACATGAGCTTTGGTGGCTAGATAATGATGTGATGCTTGTTCCAAACCCCATCTTGCCGAATCACAGAGATGCTTGTAGAATCTCGTGTTGGTAACCGGCACATTAGTGTAAAAAGAGTTTGTGAGAAGCATCAGTGAGCAGATAACCATTCTCGCTTCATCTTTAAGACTTGGGTTGACAAGAGCAGACAAACCAAACGAGGTGCGGAAAAACTGAAAATGTGGCTGGATACCAGTTTTTCATCATATAATACCGTAATTATCTCTGAGCAATTTGTGATATTTCGAATATCAAATTCTTTTGGAAGTTCCACGGACTTGCACAAATTGGAATGAAGATTATGATTGTTCTGGAAGAGATCGGATTTGCGCTCGATGTTCGGAGAGGGTGGCAAAGTTTCTGAATTTTTTAACTAATTATTGTTCTTGGTTGATGATGGATACCATTGAGGACAAGAGAAAATTTTCCACCAGAAGCATTGTGAAGAATATCAATTACAGTGTCATATGGATAACAATAATTAACAACTCGCGGGATGGTTCTTTCAAATCCATGTCTGCCATTTGCTGCGTCCTCGTCCTGTCAGGCTGTCTGCTCTGGCTACTCACCTGTCCTCAGATTTTGTTTTGTGATGTGTTCCCGTACACATTCCAAAAAAACAGCTGCCTTCTGAGTTACATCCTTTCATTCCAAAAAGCGCACGCTTGGCCTGAAGAACACTTTGAAATGGAAGTGCATGAAAATTAGACCTACAGGATGATCTGCCACCCAAGAACAGATTCCAACTTGAACATGGAACCCATTTACTTCGATCGATCGTTCTAGATCAATATATATCCAGTTTATGACGGTGTTCCAAAATGAAGTCGAAGGATTTGTTGCACCTTCTGCAATTCCATGTAGAACTATGTTTTTGGCTCTTTGTGCTTCCGCTGTTGGTAGATCTACCAGTAACATAGTTACAGACCACAATTTCGATCTAGAATCTTTCTAATTCTGGATTTTATTTGAAAATTGAAGCACCACGTGTTTCCATTCAGATTTACACCGTCAACGGAACCAAGGAGAGAAAGTTTCAGCCGGTTCCCATATTCCGACTTCCAAAGTCTTCCAATATAAGATCCTAATAGATTGTGTGTTTTTTCGGTGCCATCTCGTAAACGTTCTCGAATACTCAAAACACTTTCCAAGTGCTGCTTCACGATATCAATCAATCCTTTCCACAGCCATTGCATACTTCATGAATGCTGAATGTTGTCAGATCATTTTTCCATAGCTTCCATGCTTGTTTGCGAAACCCCTCATCTTGAGAAGAGAGCATTCTACCAAATCCAGAATCTGACATTCTTTCGAGACATGCGCCAGCTACAAAAACTAAAACCTCGTCAGAAACCGATTTCAGAGTGCTGGACAGATCTGAAAACTATCATATTTTTTTTCTTTTTAGATAATGGACTATGATACCTGAACCTGATTCATCATCGTCGTAGTCTATGTCATCTATGGTGTATGGATCTTCAAGAGTATCCTCAGATTCTCTAGTGATGTCTGGGCTCGATGTCTCTTCGCTTTCTTCATCTTGTGGCCCTGGGCCAAATTGAATAGGAGAAAACAACCGAAATGGTGTGCGCGGCATTACTTTCAGTTAAAACTAGAAAACAAAATATTATGAAAATAATAGACAAAAAAATGGTATGCCGGTTTGCCGGTTTGCAGCTGACAGGATTCCCAACCGGGTGCCACGTCATTGGCCTCGATGCCCTACCCTTTCTCCATCTTAATTAGGACACCGACCTTTACAGATTTTTTTTCATCCAGCTGCCCAGTCAGCTCCTCTTCGTCTGTCGTTTGGCCGTTTTTCACCAACCGCGCCTCAGATTCTAACTTTCGTAGAAATGCTTGTAATAACACATTTTTTAGATTTCCAAATCCTTCTATGACTTTTATGATGTTTAAAGAGAAAGATTCTTTTTCACTCAAATTTTCCCTTCTACACAAATTTGACCCGCCAACCACCAGTCATTGACCAGTCAGCGCCTCTTCGACTGTCAATTAGCAGTCGTTCAACAACCTATTTTTAGAGGTGGTCTGATATGAGCAAAATTAGCTTCTGTCATTATTCTATAATTTAGTGGGAGTATGGAAAATTGTTTTCTAAACGATTTCCAATCAAAACCTGCAATTCAGTTTTCCAACGGGTTCCGACTGTCCGTCAACGGCCCGTCAGTTTTCCTTCGACTGCCAACTAGCAGTCATTCGCCAGTTTGCGCCTCTTCAGCTGTCATTCAGCAGTTTTTCGGCAGTCCCCCTTTACCTGTGGTCGCATCGGTGGTTCAGTGGTAGAATGCTCGCCTGCCACGCGGGCGGCCCGGGTTCGATTCCCGGTCGATGCAATACTTTTTTGTTCCTCTTTTTGCAACAAGAATTGAATAAGAAAGTGTCAAAAAGGTGCAAGAATGTGACGTCTTCTCTTCTGAATACAACTCTTCTTTTGAAAATTTAAACCTATTTTATTCTTCTTGTTGTGTTGCACAAAAAATGGATATCGTTTTGAGAAAAGGGGACAAAAATGCCAAAAAAAAGTGAGCAAAAATAGAAATTATATACAAAAGGGTCTTTCTCGAATTCAGCTCCGCTCCTCACGTCGTCGTCGTCCTGAAGTGAAAAATTTCAGAAATTTTTTAAAAATTCAAATTTCCAGGACGATCGACAAAAGGAGAGAGAGACAAGGGAAAAGAAGGAGACGCAGAGAGAAAAAGATCAATGACATGACTAGAAGCTCTAAACAAACTGACATGAAAATTTTCGAAAAAAAAACCGTTAGACGAAAAAAGTGAAAAAAAAAACGACTATCAGCTTCCGATGACGTGGCACGCCGCCTCCTTCAACGCCAACTGCGCCAGCGATTCTCGAAGTTTCGAAGACGGGATACGGTAGCGAAGACGTTCACCGCGGGCGGCGAAATTCACGGAGAGCTCGATGCCGACGGAAGTGTCACGACGCACGATTAGGTATTCTTCATCTGAATGGAAAAAATGAGGGACAGGGTTTTCAGAAGAAAAATAGTAGGCAGGCAACGTGCAACGAGAGATTAGTTGGGTGATTCGCAGTTTGTTCAGTGGAGCGCGCTTGCACGAAGCCGAAATTTTGAAAATTTGAAATTTTTAGGTCGAAAAATCGATTTTTACCAATTTTTCGAACTTTTTCTTTTTTTTTGAAAAATCGATTTTTTTGAGAAAAATTGCTGCAAGTTTTTCTTTTTTTGGCACTTCAAATGAGTGTTTTAGCCTGAAAAAACCGGAAAATAACAAAAATATGCTGGAAATTCGATTTCAACGTTTGACTCCGTACAAGCGCGCTCCACTGAACAAAACGCTTGAAGTTCGAATTTCGAGTTATCAGTGAAGTTTTTAGCGTCTATTAAGGCAAAAAAAGCGAATTTTTCGAGAAAAAAACAGCCTAAAAATATCGAAATTTTACTACGAAAAATATCTAAAAATATCTAGCTTGAATAAAAATACAAAAATGGCGAAAAGCACAAAAAAAAATTAATGCACACAAACACAAAAAGCACACAGACACATACAACCGGGAGCAAATGAGTGGAAAGAGATACATACACAGAGAGAGAGAGAGACAGTATATTTAGATGTGCAGGGTGGAGGAAGGGGTTACTGTACTTGTCCCTCTATGCATCGTCATCAACGAACGTACCATCGAGAATCAGTGAGGCGGCGGCGTCGATGGGCAGCGAGGAGATGCGTTGGAAGCGCTCTTTCAGGGATTCCGATGGTTTTGAAGGCTTGGAGGATTCAGAAGCTCCAGAAGCTTCCTTAGAGGATTCAGAAGGTCCATTGGGGGCTCCAGAAGTAGCGTTAGATCCTCCAGAAGGTCCCTTTGGCGGCTCCTCATCTTTGGAGAATCCCAACTGTGAGAAGAAATTCCGCTTCTGCTGAGCAGCTAATCTCTGCTCCAACGACTCAATTTGCAGTCGAAGCTCCTTTATCGCACGCTCCTGTTGCTCCTTAAAATCGTTGTACTCCTCGATTTTCAGCGATTCTGGCGTCGTTAGCTTCGTGTAGAAGTAATAGCTGGCAAAGACGCCGACTGAGTAGGAGAATAGAACTAGCTGCTGAACGAAGTCGGATGCTTGTTCCAGTGCCGCCGCTTCGGAGACCGGCGCGTGGGTGATGGGCTCGCCGAGCCCCAGACGTTTCATACGCATTCGGGATGTGAATCGGACCAGGCCTGGAAAGAGAAAAACTGTTAGAATTTGATTTTCAACCATTTTTAGGCAAATTTCGATAATTTCTGATCATTATCTGGCCATTTCAAACTATTTTTGGTCATTTTCGGACCATTTTTTGACCATTTTCAAGACATTATAGACTATTTTCAGATCAAATTTTGATTATGTTTAGGCAATTTTTGCCCATTTTAGATTTTTTAAAAATATTATTTTAGGCCATTTCGGACCATTTTAAGTTACTTTGGACAATTTTGGGACAATTTAAGGTTTTTTTTCGACTATTTTAGACAATTTTAGGAGCATTTTGGATCGTTTTTGGGATGTTTCGGATCATTTTCAGGTTACTTTGAACCATTTTCAAGCCATTATTTAGCCAAATTGTTAGGCCATTTTTGTCGATTTTTGACTATTTTTAGGTCGTCTTCGGACTATTTTGGGTCATTTTAAGAACATTTTGGATCGTTTTAAAAACATTTTGGACCATTTTTAGGCAATTTCTGACCATTTTTTTGGACTATTTTGGTTTATTTTTTGGACTATTTTGGACCATTTTGGATCGTTTTGAGGATGTTTTGGATCTTGATCAGGTTACTTTTATCAATTTTTAAGTTATTTTGGACAATTGTTAGGTATATTTGTACCAACTTTAGACCATTTTTTGGCCTATTTAGGGTCATTTTTAGACTATAATTAGTTTATTTTGGACCATTGTTAGGCTATTTCTGATCATTATAGGCCATTTCTGACCATTTTTGAACTATTTTTGAACTATTTTTGGACTGTTTTCGACCATTTTTCGGTACAAGTCAATTTGGACGATTAGACCATTTTCAAATCATTTTTGGACTATTTTCGAAAATTTTTAATTTTTTATACCATTTTAACGACATTTAGGAGCATTTTAAAGAATTTTTCAAAAATCCCCCACCTCTTCCAATCGGAATCAACAGCTTATTCCGAAACACCGGATGATCTTTTCCATATCGTAGCACCGCGTCGGCAATAGGTTTCGAGACCTAGAATTTGCATTTTTGGAGGTTTTTTTTGGCGGGATATTCGAACAATTTGAAAAGTCAAAATTCGGAAATTCTTTGAAAAATCGTCTGAAAAATTGATTTTTTTTTCATATTTTCCAAAAAAAAAATTTTTATTTTTCAAATTTTTGCATGTTTACCTGCCGCGCGGCGATCATAAACACTTGAATCATTGGGAATCCCATCCTGCCGCCTTTTTATGGTTTTAAAAAAAATTCTAATCACATAGAAATCTGAAAAATAGCTAATTTTTGGAAATTTCAAAAATCTGAAAAATGCAAAAATTAGGCGGAAAAAACATAAAATTGGAGAGACTACCACTAAAATTATAGCAAGGAATTCGAAAAATTGGGTCAAAAAATCAGAAAAAATTCATTTGAGACACAAAAAATCATCAAAAAAAAAAAAAAAAACATAACAATGAGATAACAAAAAAGAGGAGGAAAATGAGTAAATTTGGGTAACAAATAATGGGATTTTCGAAAATTTTTCAACAAAAAATCGAATAAAAAACCGATTGCTCATCCCAGAAGAGCTTCAATCTGCTTGCGCAACGATCGACACTTGGTTTCCATCACTTTGCACGCCTCCACAACGAGTTCAGCAGATTTCAGGGCTCCAGTCGACTCGACGCTGACTGGAAATTTTGGAAAAATTGAGGAAAATAAGCAAATTCGCTCCAATGAGAACTTTTGGAAAACTCGAATTTTTAGGATTTTTTTTGGAATTTTCAAAATTCTCAGATTTTTCACAAATTTTGGAATTCTCAGAATTTTTTTGAAATTGTCAATAGAGCGCGATTACTACTTACAAATGAAGTGCTGCTTATTCTTGCCGAGTTGGACCACTTTGGCGAGATCCTCGTGACGGAAGACGTTACGACTGCATGTGTCCTTGCGGGCATCCTTGACGACAGCGATGCGTTTGGCTGGAAATTCGAATTTTATATCTGGGAGTAGCGTGGCCTAACTTTTTCGAAGTATGATTTTTCTAGGCCACCATGTTAAAATGGCCTGGAAAACCCACCAGGTGAATTTTAGGCATTTTTAGGTCACACACTTTGGTGGCCTAGAAAACATAATGTTAGGCCACCATGTCTAATGCCCCCAAAATAACCTAAAATGTATGTGATGCGTTTTCTAGGTCAATTATCATTGAGGCCTAACTTTCGTAAGACGAGTTTTCTAGGCCACCATGTTAGAATGGCCTATAAAACACATCAGATGCATTTTAGGTTATTTTAAGGTTATTTTAACATGGTGGCCTAGAAAACTCAAGTTGCAAAAGTTAAGCCATCATGGGAAAATGACCCAGAAAACACACAAGATATATTTTGAGACTTTTCTAAGTCATTTACCATAGTGGCCTAACTTTTGCAAGTTGAATTTTCTAGGCCGCCATGTTAAAATAACCTTAAAATAACCTAAAATGCATCTGATGTGTTTTATAGGCCATTCTAACATGGTGGCCTAGAAAACTCGTCTTACGAAAGTTAGGCCTCAATGATAATTGACCTAGAAAACGCATCACATACATTTTAGGTTATTTTGGGGGCATTAGACATGGTGGCCTAACATTATGTTTTCTAGGCCACCAAAGTGTGTGACCTAAAAATGCCTAAAATTCACCTGGTGGGTTTTCCAGGCCATTTTAACATGGTGGCCTAGAAAAATCATACTTCGAAAAAGTTAGGCCACGCTACTCCCAGATATAAAATTCGAATTTCCAGCCAAACGCATCGCTGTCGTCAAGGATGCCCGCAAGGACACATGCAGTCGTAACGTCTTCCGTCACGAGGATCTCGCCAAAGTG